ATGACCAAGGAGGATAGAAGGAGAATTGATGCCTTTGAGCTGTGGTGCTAGAGAAGAGTATTGAGAATACCATGGACTGCTAGGAAAACAAACAGATTCGTCCTGGAAAGGCTTAAACCGGGTGGCTCCTTGGAGGCAAGGATTCTGAGGCTCTGTCTAACATACTTTGGACATGTTGTGAGGAGAAACCGATCCTTGGAGAAGGACGTCATGCTTGGGAGGGTGGAGGGACAGCACAGGAGGGGAAGGCCCTCTCTGAGGTGGATTCATTCAGTGACTGGGATAATCAGAATGGGAGTGTCAGAGACAGTGCGATTGGCACAGGACAGAGCAGAGTTTACGGCTGTTGTATATAGGGTCGCTATGAGTCGCAAGCGACTCAAGAGCACATAACAACAACACATTGCGATGGGAAAGTCTGCAGTTAGCGACCTCTCTCAACATGCTAAAATGCAACAATGTGAGTCTGGAGACAGGTACGTCTGATACATGCCATAGTCTTTGCAATCACTTGCTATGCATCAGATTGCTGGACAATGACTAGGGATGATAGGAGGAATATTGATGCCTTTGAGCTGTGATGCTAAGAAAACAAACAGGTTTGTCCTGGAGAGGGTGAAGCCAGGCTGCTCCTTGGAGGCAAGGATTCTGAAGCTTCATCTGACATTCTTTGGGCATATTGCAAAGAGGCACCAGTCCTTGGAGAGGGACATCATGCTTGTGAGGGTGGAGGGACAGTGCAGGACAGGAAGACCCTCAATGAGGCGGATTGATTCAGTGACTGGGGTAATAGGGGTAGGTGAGTTGGAGATGGAGAGATTGGCTCAGGATAGGGCAGAGTTTAGGGCTGTTGTACATAGGGTTGCGATGAGTCGCAGGTGACTCGACAGCACATAACAACAACAACATCATGAGAAATTCTGCTTTTTTTGATGTTGAAATGTAATGCATATTTAACACTATAGTCCTTGATCTTCTGCAGCAAGTGTCTCAAGTCCTCACTTTCAGCATGCTTGGATGTGTCATGAACCTAAGGTAGGTTGTTGACGCGTCTTCCTCTTATCCTGATGCCACATTCTTCTCCACAGAGTCCAGCTTCTTGAATGATTTACTCACTTTATAGACTGAAGAGATATGGAGAATGGTTAGATGCACACTTTTCAGATTTTTAAACCATGCAGTGTTCCCTTGTTCTGTTGAAATTACCACTTCTTGGTCTATATACAGGTTTTGCATGACCATAGTTAAGTGTTCAGAAATCCCCATTCTAATCAATGTTGTTGTTATATGTCATCAAGTCACCTTCAACTCATAGAGGCCCTATGTACAATAGCTCTGAACTCTGTTCTATCCTGAGCCAGTCTCACTGTCTCTGACCCATCTACCCCTGTTATCCTAGTTACTGTGTTAATCTATCTCATCCATGGTCTTCCTCTCCTGCACAGTCCCTCCACCCTTCCAAGCATGATCCCCTTCTCCAGGGATTGGTCCTTCCTGGCCACATACCTACAATATGTGAGATGGAAGCTTCAAAATCCTTGCCTCCAAGTGGCAGCCTGGTTTCACTCTCTCCAGAATAAACCTGTTTATTCTCTTGGCAAT